CCTTTGTAATAACAATAGCCATCAGCCCCACTTAAGAAAACTGAAGTATATTTTAGGAATGCAATTCAAATAATAATGAGAACTATGAAAGTCTACTTTGGCAGCAATTCTTCTGGTTTCCAAAAAAAGGCGTACAAACTGGCACTTTATCAGAATGTTAGAGAGAGGTTTGCAATTTACCAGTCTAACCAGATGGTTTAGCACAATGGTTCTTAACTCTTTGGTCGGGACACAGAATTGGGTTTCCACACCATTTCATTGGATCCTCAATTGTTATAGCACCCACCATCTGGACACAGGCAACTCCCTACAAGAAACTAGTTACTCTTATAGAAAAGTGTAGTATATGTGAATTAAAACATTTATATAGTAGTTTACATATAACTCAGAATTATTCTTACCCTTGTTTTATGTGGGTAGATACGACTATACATCGATATAACATAGAGATATAAATGGAAAAAGAGAAAAAAATATATAGTGTAGACTGTTTCGACAATAGTAGTGGTTTTAAGATAATTTTTGGAACTACTCATAAATGCCGGTGTATATTCTCATCTACCCATATAATACAAGTGTTATCATTCACTTATGCTACACTTTTTTACAATTGTTTTTGTGGTGTGGGGAATAAGTTATAGCATATACCAAAAAAGTGCTTTCCATACATAGACAATTCAATAGAATGGTCGACAGAAAAAAATTGCCAATGCGGCTCGTCTAAACTGAGGTCTCGTGGGGTGATCGTTATAAATGTTAGAGACCCAAGACCTTTTGTTTATAATAAATATAAATTTCTACCTCTAGTATATATTTCCCATACCAATTTTATTATTGGAATACATCTACTTGCCAAAGCCCCTTGATCTACTTTATTGCATTATAGATATTTTTCCCCAAAGACTGGCTTTATACATTCATTTATAAAAACTGCATTCACAAATGTATAATACATTTCGAATACATCATCCATCTCTATTGCTGTTATTTTGGCAATATTTTATCACCACACTGCCTGTGCATTTTAGCAAGTGTTTGTCCTATTATGCTGGGGCCAGGGTAATTGTCTAATGTATAATACATTATATTATTTATTATATATAAGTAAAATGACTTACATTGATTTATGTTTGTATTCTATTGGTCTACAAACTAAACTGGAAGCCTAGATTCCTTCAGATTCTCAATACTTACATTTCAGCAACCTAAGCGAAATTAATGCAATTCTGCATTGTTCCACAATTTCCTTCGTAGCTTTTCTTTAGCGAAGAGAGAAAGCATTGTAAAATATACTGGTCAGCAAAAAATTCTGCACAATTTTGTTTTAAGCAAACCCCATAGCTGACCCCTTCAGTGACCTCTCCAGCAGTACAAGGGTTAGTATTTCAATTTCCTTCCACAGTTATTGACACCGTACCAACGAGAACGTATCATACAAAAACAATAAAAGAAATAAAATAATAAATCAATACAAGTAATAAAATATCTATTGACGGGGGTTATGTTGCTTTAAGATCTAGAGAACCCGCCGATCCTCAAAGCTCAAATCCAGAATTACTTTTCTAATTTGTGATTTTACCATTTTTCTTTTTTTATTTTGTTAAAAAGTTATTTTTTCTATGTATTCTTTTCATTAATAAAACAAATGATCAAATGTTGAATAGATACTTTTTACCCCAATGAGCCAGACCTATGATTTAAAAAAAAAAAAAACTCAATAATTCAATTACAATCTTTAGATTGCTCTAATGGATTTTTTCAGTCGTTGGTACAAAGCGGGTATGGCAAAAAAAATTCTCACTGTCACAATTTGAGTGACAGAGACCGACTGGGAGCTGTGTGGCTTCACTGTCCTATTAATAATAAAGTCAATGAAGATAAGTCATCAGGACTATAAAATCTTTCTTCTACGTGTCTATCAGTACCTTCTCAGGGATGCAATGCCTCAAAATTGTATTATGTCTTTTGTGTTAAAAACTAACTATAAAAGCTTGTTTTAATGCTGAGGTGGGAGTACCATTGAGTATTCAGTATTTAGAAACAGGCCTAGACCAATGTTGAAAGTATGGTGCACTTAGGATGGACAAGAAATGAATATACAAATGTGTTGTTCACACATGAAAATTGTCAATGCTTGAAAGGAAAGTTTTGACTTGAAAATAAAGGGGGAGATTTATCACTTTTACATCTCATTTTCTGCAAATCTTTTGTTTGCTTTGTCATGTCTGTTGCTTTTTTGCACACTAACCGTCATTTTTGAATATACTCTATTTTACCAATTTATGACAGAAAAGTGGCAGAATTTTTTCCACCACTGTAATCTTGGTTGGTATTCTGAAATGAACATTTCTGCTGAACTGTGTGGAAATAACTGCAAAGAAAACTTGGCATTTTTTAGATAACTTTAATAAATGCAGTTAAAATAATGACAGAATTTAACTTATTTTGATTATTATCTATTGTATTTAGAGATGAATCAAATCAGAGATAATCTGATATCAGAGACAGCAGCATATAAAATGAATCAGGAGAATGTCCAAGTTAATCTACTAGCTGAGCTCACCAAAGTCTATAGGTAAATGGGAATAAGAGAGGGCATTGTATGCTAATACACACTGTAAAAGACTACAAAACGTCCAATAGTATCTATAAAAATAGATATGTATAAATATGTATATCTAAAAGCAGCTATACACATAAAAAATCCCTTTTTAAAATTTCAAATCAATACATATATAACAAAAAGTGTCAGCACTATTGTAGAGAAAACTCAGCTTTTCTGAGTACTCCACCAATCCTCTATGGTAAAAACACAAAAAACATATATATATATATATATATATATGCCCTCAGTGATAAATTACAGTCTATCCAATCACTTCAGCAGAAATCACAGTATACATTACAATTTGTGTTCCTCCAAAATAAATCAACTTTAACCCCTTAAGGACACATGACATGTATGACATGTCATGATTCCCTTTTATTCCAGAAGTTTGGACCTTAAGGGGTTAATGTCCCAGAGTTCGATAGGTGGTGGATGGGGGGATGATAATGCTACACAGAACTTGATCCAGAATCTTTGTGTGTTACTTGCAACAGTGTACACCGTACCTTTAAAAAGGATAACTAAAAGTCTTCATAGCGTAACTCTGTGTTTATTTGGCAAAACAATCAATTGAATAAAAAACCCTCACCCTCAAAAAGGAACCCTTACATTTATAAGTTGTGGAACTTGTCTCCAAGAAACCACAGTTAAAGCTCTTGTTAACAGTAAATGTTGTCAACAATACCATCTGATTCTCCTGTCTTCCACGTGTTGACTGAACGTTCAAGCCTAGAAATGGTGGTCTATGACAGGGAAGCATGACAGAAAGCCCGCAAGCACAGGCGAAATGCGTTGAAGTGCAGACGGTGTGAGAACTGCAGAGCCTGATAACAGTAGCAGCCTCCAATCCCGGTGACTTCCCTGTCATAGACCACCATTTCTAGGCTTGAACGTTCAGCCAACACACACAAAAAAAACTTTTTCACACACAAAGAAATACAAAGGTTAAGTTTGGCCAGCTTTCGTGACTAAGTGGCTACTACAAAAGACTGGACATACCCCATTTTGAAAGACTGGACATACCTCAAGTCTACTTTTTCAAATGGTGTGTCATGGTGGGATTCATTTTCAATCTGGCAAACAGCAATTTACAAAAATAGAAATTGGCATATCTTATGTTTGACCTTGTAACTTTCCAAATCACCATAAAACCTATACATTATTCTACATATATAATGTAGAATGTGTGTAAATATATATATATATATATATATATATATATAAATATGAATATAAAAATAAATATAATGTTTTTTTAAATTTTACTTTATATATATATAATACGTATGTGTGTTTAATAAGTGTGTAATATATATATATATATATATATATATATATATATGTATATATATATAATACTTGTGTGTATATATTTTTTATATATATAAATGAAACCAATTTATATTTAAATTGTATATTTATTTATATACACACATACACACACACACACATACACGTATATAATACATGTGTGTATATATATATATATATATATATGTATATACACACACACACACGTTTTTATTTCCTATATATGTATAATATATTATAAAATAATGAAAGCATTTTATCATGTATTATACATATATAATGCATATATATAATTACATCATAAGTGTATTTTGAGATATATATGTATATATCTCAAAGTACACTTATAATGCAATCATATATATGCATTATATATGTATGATATATTATAAAATTATTTAATTATTTTATAATACATTATACATATATAATATATGTATAATATATTTATATCATTATTTTTTTTTATATATATATATATATATATATGTATACTTTAGGTGTCTGGGGGACTGCCTGATTGCTCAGGCAGTCCCCCTGCTGGCAGCTCCATAGACTTCTATTGCGGCCATGTGATCAAGGTGATCACATGGCCCTGGAGGGCCAGAGAGGCCGGAGCCGCTGCAGGGGGACTGCTGGGGTCTCAGGCAGTCCCCCTGACCAGGGGTCACCACGGATCACTGGTCCAGGTGAGTACCCGGGTCATTTTAGCCGTGGACGTGCAGGATACGTCTGCGGTCATTAACTGCCGTTAAAGGGATTCTATAGTGTAAGGAATACAAAGCTGTATTCCTTATCCTATAGTTCCCGCTGATATCCTCCCTCTTTTGCTTCCTCCTCCAACCCTTTCTGAACCCAGCCGATTCCAGCGCTGATCTCATTTGGTGCTAAGTTGGCTTTCCGTCTCCTCCAACCTCATTCGACAGAGGGCAGGAGGGATAATGCGCATGCAAAGTGAGCACTGTGAGCGCGTTAGACCATCCCCATAGAAAAGCATTGCTTTAATGCTTTCCGATAAGGATTTAACTAACTCTGGATATCCTCGTAGAGAGCATGAGGATGTCCAGCATCAGTTAAGCCAGTGTTTCCCAACCCAATCCTCATGGACCACCAACAGTCCAGGATTTATGCATTTCTCTGTTTTATTCCAATGGAGATACTGAAAAACCTGGACTGTTGGTGGTCCATGAGGACTGGGTTGGGGAACACTGAGTTAGGCAACCAAAAGCATGAAGTGCCTCTAGTGGCTGTCTGATTGGGGCATTACACAGTGCTGAAGTTGTCTTTGAGCCTATAGTGTTCCTTTAAATCTATGGGAATTTTTTATCTGTTGGTTTTTTTGAGCCCTAACTACCATTTTTGAATATGCACTATTTTTTCACTAACATAGCAGATTTATAGATATTTCTGAAACTTTTTACAACAGAAAATTTCTGAATTTACTATGAAGAATACTGTCATTTTTTTTTTAGAACACTTTAATGTATATCCCCATTGATATCAGCTACACTACATAACTGATTGAAATTCTTTGCTGACCTCCTTACAGCACTTCTCAGTGGTGACTTTTCCATTGAGCTTAAAGGTTAAATTAAGAAAGGTACAAATAGCCTTATTCACATATCCTCACTATAAGACTTTACTCGGTAAGACTTCATGACTTTTGCAGACACTGTAGGGGGTTAGGAGAACAATTCTGGAGCAAAATTCAAGAAATAGCTTAGCAAACAGAAGGTTCTTGCAGATTGCTCCATTTTAGAACTTTTCCCCATGTATTTATGCATAACGCACAATGTATACTAACTAGTAAACCTCCTATTCTATCTACACATTAAATAATAATAATAATAAAAATCACGAAACACTGCAAATGAATCAGCTCAAAATTCAGAATGTGCCTTTGTAGCAATGAGAGGTTCTCAAACTAATTTTGTTTCCTTGCATTTCATTTCATACCCTGATATTATTGTATCACTCATAATCATTTGAATAAAATGCATATTTGTATTCTATTATATCCTCCCTCCCGCCTTGCCTACAGGCAACACATTATTATATAATGAGTTATGGTTATAGCTTCCATAGACACTGGCTTTATTTTACGAAACAATCGAGAAACGCATTATTTGCGTATTAATTAAATAAATACTATATATTACTAGTGCGCCTGCTGTATATGTGCCTGCTCATTGATAGGCCCTAATTCCACGTAATTGTCATTCTACATTTAAAAAAATAAAATAAAATAGGACAAAATCATTTTGAAATCAAGGTTTAGTGTGATGCAGTCTGAATTTATGCATATGGGAAAGAGAAATTGAATGTGCTATGATAAATTCAATATCGAAAATGGAATACTTCTAATTTCTGATGATTGAATGAAGGCTTCAGAAGGTCAATGTGACTTCAGAAGGTCAATGATACATCTTATAGTGTTATTTTGTAGAGATTTCACAAGGAATTATATTGTGTAAGCCAGCTTTGACCAAGGAACCTTGAGTAGGACAATTAAAGGGATACTAAACTCATAATAACAAAGAGATACATACTTTTAGATCACAGAATAGCAGATTAATCATAAGGCAACCTAAAGGACAGGGGTAAGCCATGGACCTCAGAACCTGAAGATTTGTGGTCAAGCCTGTTTCTATTTACATTCTCTATACTAGCAATGTTATTTACTATAGTGAGAATTCAGTGTGAATTCAAAGTGAAATTCAAAGTTAAGGTTAAAATAGCTCAACCGAAAAAAATTGTAAGTCAGATTTCAGTTGGGCTACTCTTGAATTTGAAACCTACTAGGGAGCAAGGAAACGTACGTAAGACGTATTTGGCAGGTTAAAGAGGATCTGTCACTTTTTTTATTATAGGCATGTCCCAAATAATTGACCCGTTTTTTTTTTTTGTTTCTTTGTTTTTTGAAATTATGCAGATTTGTTAAGTTATACATATGGAAAAGTAAGGACAAAAGTTGATGAAAGTGTGGAGCTTTAGTTACGCTCCACAGCCTTTGTCAAACTTCTATTGGCCGTCTTCTTCTATACTCACCTTCCTCCCACAGAGCGTCACTTCCTGAAACAGCTAGTCACTGAACCTCACTGTTTTCTCTTGCATGATCGTGAGAGTCAACTGAGGTCAGTGGAAGCTGACGAATCTGTAATCCACACATGCCCATTGTGCAGCACTGCATACAGCGATGCAAGACCGGGAATAGGTTAGAATGTTGGTTTCTGTTTATTGAGAAACTATACTAAAGGTATTTATTATTGTTGGTTACACTTGGAGACATTTTTCGCTCTTGTCCTTGAAGTTAAATGTTCGTGCAAGACATGACCGATGAAAGATCCTTGTACAGCTTATTTTATATGTAAAAAAGGCTCTATTGCCATTAACTGAATATATGGGACATCTAGAACTAATTACAATTTGTATCAGGATTATTTATTCAATATCTGTCCAGGGCTCACCAGGTATCTCTCAGACATGAAGGAAAAGACTTGGTAGTTAAGAGATTGTGAGAAAGGCTTCAGAGTAGAAAATAGGAATAAATATTTATGAACAGGTCTATTCTATAAGTGTAAAGCTCAATTATTCAATTATTCACTGCTCCTCTGAAAAAAACTAGAATATTAAATGGACACTATAGGCACCAAAACAACTTTAGATTAATGAAGCAATTTTGGTGTATAGATCATGTCCGTGCAGTCTTACTGCTCACCTCATTGCCATTTAGGAGTTAAATAACATTGTTTATACAGCCCTAGTCACACCTCCCTGCATGTGACTCACACAACCTTCCTAAACACTCCTGTGTGAGTAAATTTACATTTCAGAAAATAAACACTTCAAAAGCAAGTTAATGTCTGATTGAAACTGAAACCATTTGTTTTTATGCAGCGAGTTATGGCCAGGGTAGGTGTGGCTAGGGCTGTATGGAAAGAAACTAAAATGATTTATCTCCTAAATGGCAGAGAATTGAACAGTGAGACTGCAGGGTAATGAGCTATACACACAAACTGCTTCATTAAGCTAAAGTTGCATTGATGTCTATAGTATCCCTTTAAGAGAAGTTTACCCATACAAATTGAGAATCTTCCTAAGCAGGCAACAAAATAATCTCTCTTACTGCTTTATGCATCAAATATGCTATAGTTACTGATGTGAAACATTGCTAAACTCTTAACTTAAAGCATAGTCCAACGAGTAATCTGGGGACCAGGGATCTGTGCCAATAGATGTACAGATCTCCCTTATACCTTAAAAACAGTCCCTATAAATCCCTGTAATCCCTGAAATGATGTTACCAAATGCAGCACTGACGTACCACTAGCAGAATTTCTTTTAAAGCAGATAAATCATTATAATTTAACTAAATTGCTCTGCTTTTTTTTTTATTCTTTCACAAATGTAGTTTATTGAACATGCAATTAATATACCTTTGGGAAAAAAATAAGCAACGTCCCAAGTTTAAAATATGATCATGATTACATTGCATTTAATAATCCTCTCAATGGGGGCAATGACCTCCTTGTCTATATAAACGCTCTCTAATAGGTCATCTTTACTAAGGAAGCAACTAACACATTTATATTCCCTACCTGCCTTATAATCAATTATCAATGACTTCTAATCTGACTTTCATACAGACACCTCATCTATCTATGTACATTAATCAATGAGAAGATCCTACTTCGGTATTTCATGCTATTAGTTAAAGGGCTTGTGCAGAAGAGTAAAAAAAACCAACAACATTATTTTTGAATGTTCAGCTATAATGAACACATCAGAACTAACAATATGTCTTGTAACATCAATATCGAGGTACGAGAGTTTAAATAAATTGTGCGTCTGGAAACACCTTGTGCCAAAGAGAGATATTTATGAATTTGCCTTTTAAAGTACGAGTGGGCTTTATCATGGATCGCCAGACTTTTTGTGTGAAATTTTAGACCAGAATAATATGAACAAATTAAAAACAAACTGTGCATTACTATATGTTATATTGTTGTGGAGCTCTGTGATACACTAGCACAAACTGTGCATTACTATGTGTTATATTGTTGTGGAGCTCTGTGATACACTAGCACAAACTGTGCATTACCATGTGTTATATTGTTTTGGAGCTCTGCAAAACATGTACACAAAATGTGCTTTACCATGTTTTAAATGTCCGTGAAGCTGTGTGATACACTAACACAAACTGTGCATTTCTGTGAGGTTTATTGTTGTGGAGATGCTTGATACACTGGCACAAACTCTGCATTACTGTGTGTTATCTTGTGGAGTATTTTGATACATTTATACAAACTGTGCACTTATTTGTGTTATATTATTACGGAGCAATATGACACACTCATACAACAGTGCAATACCTTGTGTTGTATTTTTGTGCAGAGGTGTGCTCTACATAAACAAACTGTGCATTAATGTGTGTTGCAGTGAAATGAATCTCCGTGTAACGCTCATACAAACTGCGTGTTAGTGTCTATTATTTTGCTGTGTAGCTGTGTGATATACTATGAAAACTGTGCCTTACTGTGTTGTACTGCTCTGGAAATGTGTGATACACTCATATAAACTGTGCATTAGTGTTAGTTATATCACTGCGGAGCTCTGTGATGCACTCATACATGCTGCTCATAGCACATTACTGTGGACTTTACAGCAGGGTCAACTCACCTCTGTGAATGCTTCTTTAAACATAACCACAATCCTTTGCAGCATGAATGTAGTCATTTCAGAACATCCATCAATGAAGCATTATTAATTTCTTTAGAACTGTTATGAACAGGTGATCAGTATCCTACCCAACAGCCAATAATACGGTAACGTGTTAGAGAACCAGTGTTTGAGAAATTTGTTTGACCCCTATTGCCTCTACTTCTCCTCCTTTCCAATCACCGGCGGAAGCAATGGCAATGTACTAGCAGGGTCTAGTGATTGCAAACAGTCACCATGTTCGCTTCCTCGAATATTTAGGGGAAGTTGCCAATTAATTTCAAGTCTGGTTTCAATTAACTGTTAGCTTTTACCCACACTCCCCTACACCGTCCCATTTGCAACTCACAGGATTATTTAATGAAGTGAGAATTCAAAGTGACTTCAAGACAAATTTCAAATTCAAGATCAAATAGCTGGATTGGAAATATTTTCTAAGTCAGCCATGCCTTGAGTTCAATATTAGGCCTAAAATTTGGAACTTGGAATT